ACGCCGGAGGCATCTTTGTGCTCTGATACACACCCGGGCCTTAATACTTCCCCCTCCCCCTCTCCGCCGTCACCATCAGCCGAAGGGCTAAAGTCGCCGGGGCTCTCACGCCCCGCGATGGCCCTCGCAGCGCACTGGGTCACGGGGACACTCAAACAATTTGTTTTCCCGGCACTACGCGGCCGGGCTGCGCGCCTCCGCGGTGGCTCAGGCACTAGCGACGCCGGAATGGCGCACCTAAGGTCGCCGGTTCGAAGCCCGCCGAAGAGGCACTTTCTTAATTTCATGGCGGCCTGTGGGGCACGACGGGCGCATTTACAGTGGCAACGAAATTTCACGGCTTCGTGCAAATTAGACGACTGCCTGGCAGACGAAAAGGTCAGCTGTGGAAAAGTTGGTAGTAAAATTATCGCTCCTTAATAAAATTTGAAAATATTCCCTCAAAATGCCCTTTCAGGAAGCAAATATTAATTTTTTGCTTACGTCGCTTAATGGGGCTCGAATCAGACGTGTGACCCCACCAATGGATTGCTCTCCGAACGAGGAATCCATTGGTGGGGTCACACGTTCACTTCAAGCCCTAAAATAAACAAAAAAAAAACAATAACGAAAAAGCGAAAAAAATATATATGAAATAACCCGGCCTCGCACTACGCTACACTATAAGGCACCGCAAACCTCGTCACCGCAGTCTGCGTGGCTGCGGCGCCCCGTCCGTCCGTCTGCCGAATGCGAAAGCATTGTAACCGCAACGGAGCCGGGAGGGGTGGGGGTGGGGGAGGGGTGGGGGTATCGGGCTGGAAAGACCCTGTGCGAGGGAGATAGGCTGAGGGGTGAAATATCGGGCTTGTGACGTCACTCAATGGAACGCGTGGACGGACACGGAACCATTGCTTCGCGTCGGGTTTCCAAAACATCGACCTTGCTAAAAAAGATTCGCAAAAAAAAAGAGAGAAAAAAGTCTACTGCTTTTGTATCGGTTTCACAACGTCACTCAGTCAGCCGACTGCGGTGGCCGGTTCTGCCTTCGGCGAGAGGTCGCTTTCGGTGTGGATCTCGACGTTTCTCGATTGTGTGCACAGCGAAAGCTCGCCCCGGCGCACGCAGATAATTGCCGTGTGGCACACTGTTATGAATGGAGTGCGATAACCGATACGCCGATAAATCGTTTATCAACCTCGCGTGTAGCTGAAGACACTCTCAAAACTGTTTTCGCTTCGGTTGGAAAGGGTGAAAAAAAAGCTACATTTTTGCGATCTGAAAAAACAGAGTGTGGTGGCCGGAGCAGACAGTGACGAGACCATCGGTCGGGACGGTTGAGGTCGAAAAGGAGGGGGGAGGGGGGGGGGGGAGCCACAGGTGTCCTCATCCCCAGGGTCTAACCGCACGCGACACGCGGTCGCCAAGTGACTGCGCAAACATAACATATGCACACGAGTGAGCGCGTTTCACACGAGTCGGCCGGCGAGCCTCCCCTGCCGCCGCGTCGCCGCGTCCCACGGTCGCTCTTCCGTACCTGTGCCGCCGGCCGATGCCCGCTCCCACGCTCTTCCGGTGGTACTTCCGATACTTCCGGTGCTTCCGGCACTTCCGGTCCCCAGTGTAGGGGCAGTGATTGTCCCGCTGCACCGCGGCGCCGGAAGGGAGACGGGCACGCGAACAGGTGCGCAGCGGGCCAGCCGACCAGCGCCGACGGCCAAAACTCTGGACGCGTTTTGAGCTCCAGAGTCGCTAAAGGGTACTCGAACCGAACGTGTGACCCCACCAATGGATTCCTCGTTCGGAGAGCAATCCATTAGTGGAGTCACACGTTCGGTTCGAGTCCATTTAGCGCCGAGCTCAAAAAGCATCCGGGATTTTTACCACCTCCACCGGACTCCGCCCCACTGTGCGCGAACAGGTGGTGGCGGACATCGCTTTTGCATCGACCTATCGACCCGTCCACGTCGGCGTCCGCATGAGGCGTCCGCCACCGCTTGGCCAAAGGCTCTCCGTCCGTCCGGACGAGGCGGACGCTCCACGGCGCCTCGGGTGAAAAGTCCCCCTTTTTCCGCCTGGAGCGCCACACCGGTCGTAAAGACGAGCGCAGGACGGCGGGGCCCACACTGTCGGTGCAGCCCCCCACCCCCGCCTCTCCAGTTCTCCAGGTCCAGGAGGCCCGACTGGGAATCCTCGCAGGAGGGGGGGGGGGGGGGGTCGGCATCGCGGTGAAGTGCCTCAAGTCCGGAGTCGCGAATTGACAACGTCCGACACTTGTTTGTGAGAGCGCCACTGACGGCGCCATTTCGGCCGTTCCCCGGGGGGGAGGGGGGGGGGGAATATTGGCGAGCTTGCCTCGTACTCAATGGCGGCGACGGAGCGAGAATGAATCAGACAAGGACGGAGAGGGAGGGAGAGAGAGAGAGAGAGAGAGAGAGAGAGAGAGAGAGAGAGAGAGAGAGAGAGAGAGAGAGAGAGAGAGAGAGAGAGAGAGAGAGAGAGAGAGAGAGAGAGCCCTGCTGCGGGGCGCTCGCTCCCAAACCCTGCCCAGGACACCCCGGGCTGGCCGGGCCGGGCAAGCCGTGGAGTTGAGAGCCGGCACATATTTTAATAACAATACACGACCTGGGCTGGCGTGGCGCGGCGTGGCGTGGCAGGGGGGGGGGGGCAGGGTGGCTCAGCGAGGGCGCCTGTAGGGCACCGGGTCAGACGGGGCGAGCGAAAAGGACTGCGTGCGAAAGATAGCGGTTTGCAGCGCCCGTCCATGGTCTGCCTACTGCGTGCCGAGAGACGAGTGCACCCTGCGTCGCTGCACGGATGCGATAAGCCATGAAGCGCACAACAGCACGGTGGAATTGAAAAAAAAAACAGAAGAAAACAACAAATGAGAAACGTCACGCTGGCTGGGACGTTTAAAAAGTCGTCGAGCTCGACGAATGAATTGAATGCAAACACAGTCAGAAATTTTCAGCAAAAATATCAAATGACGTTTGTTTAATTTGGGCAATAGAATTCGGTCAATTTTTGGGCAAGTTCACCATGCAATCGAAACTTGAAAACTTTCCCTCTGTTGTTGCGTTTCAATGTTGTTGACAGGGTATCAAGGCCATACCTGTCCATGCAGTCCGCCCCAGCCGGCACCCCGCGCCGCCCCGGCGACCACTTTAACTCCGACAACTCGCCCCACCCCGCCCCGCCCCGCCCCGCCCCGCCCCACCCCGTCCCGCCCCACCCCGCCCCGCCCCCAGCGGGCCACTCAGCGGCGCACAGCGGGGGCGTCGCGTGTGACGCGGTGCCCACAACAGCAGTGTAGTGGCAATTCAATTAAATCAAGCAGCACTTGGCGAAGGCCGAAGGGCTGCCTATCCGGCGGGCGTCGCGATAGACTGTCAACACAATGGACTGTCAGCGGCAGAGACCCCGACACACCGACACACACACACACACACACACACCGCGGTGCAGCTAGCGACACGACGTCCCACGCCCTTTGCTTTCGACCCCTTGTGCGACGCCTCCATAGCTCATCACCACGCATACACTGCATGGACTCCTTCCTCTCTCTCACACACGCACACGCACACACACACACACACACACACACACAAAGCTGCGGAAGGACGAGGCCAACACGAGCCGACAAGGGGACACACACACACGCAGTCGGACGCACTGACAAATTCACACACGCGTGCATATATTCGCAAGCGGTAGTTCGCCGCAAAGAATATTTTAGCCATGTGCCGTACCATGTTGATGACTGACTTGAAAGTGTCTAAAAATGGAACGACGTCCTGCCGGTCTAGATTGCAGGAGGCTCGGTGACAAGTAGCCACCCCCACCCCAACCCCGTTTCCCCTTGGCTGGCAGGAATAGGGGCTGCTGCTGCTGCGTTGTCGGCCCGGCCCCGCCCCGCCCCGCCCCGCCCCGCCCCGCCCCGCCCCGCCCCGCCCCGCCCCGCCCCGCCCCGCACGGCGCCAGCGAGAAACGCGCTGCTCTCATAATTGCAAATGATTGTGGCCCACCATTACAACCGCCAAGGGCGTGGCGGCCAGACCGCACACACACGCTTGCATATTCACACACATGCACACACCAACACACTTACACTAAAACTGCACAGTGTTGGTAATAGTGCAGGGGTCGCGCTCTGCGGTGGAGAGAAAAATTAGCGCGCCGAGAGTAGGCGACGACCACGACGCCGAGCCGGGTTTTCCTGCTGGGAAGGGGATGGGGGCGGAGATGGCGTGGAACAGGGACGTCCGGGAGTGGCGAGAGAAGGCGTGAGTGGGAGCGAGAGCGAGGGGGTGGCGCGGGCCCCGCCGGCCTGCCGAGAACACCATGGGGCTCCGCCACCGCCGCTCTCATACAGGATATGAGGGGAATATTTTTTTGATTCAACAGGGGACGGGGCGGGGTCGGGCCACGGCGGCGGGGACCTCACGAGGGTGAACGACGTCGTCAGGCACTACCCCGTGCAGCCCGGGGTGATGTGCTCACCTTTCACCCCGCCCCGCCCCGCCCCGCCCCGCCACGATCCAACACCTGTAGCGCACGGTACGCCCTCATCGCTTGTGATAAGGCGCACCCCGCCCCGCCAGGCGTGTCAAAAGGTAGCGCTGAAGGACGTTGCAGCAGCAGCGTGTCCCCGGGGCTCCTAGTTATATTCCAAGGGGGGCGGGTAAGAGCGCGCCTTTTTTTTATAAAATAGTGAAAAAAAAAAAACACGGCCTTGCCAGAGGCGTCATACCTGCGGCAAGGTCAGTTCAGTGTGGAGCAGTGGTAGCTCCCGTCAGCTTATCGGTTCCCATCCCGAACACCGAAGTAAAGCAGGAGGCTGCTTGTCACAGAGAAGTGCAACCAATTTTTTTAAATTTTAAAATGATTGTTTTTTTTTTAACTTTTGTTTTCAATTTCAAAATTTTTGTTTTTAAAACTTTTGTTTTTATTTTAAAATTATTGTTTGTCAAACTTTAGTTTTAATTTTTTTTTAAATTTTTTTCGCACTTTTTTTTTCAAACTTAGACTAGCTTACCGTCGCAGGAGCGGCACGAGTGGTGGCAGCGTGTGCAGCCGTACTGCGTCTGGAAGTGGCCCTGGGGGCAGTCCGGGTGGCAGGCGCCGCCCAGCAGCTGCCAGCCCTTGGGGCAGGACACGCACTCGTCCTTGCGCGGGCCCACGCAAGTGGCGCAGCTCAGGTAGCACGCCGAGCACACCCCGCCGTCCGAGTAGTAGCTGCAACACAAAGGCGCCGACATGAGACCCCACGGTAAACGCTCCGGGAGATTAAAAAAAATTAAATGAAGCTAGGGCACAGGTAGGAAGCACCAGCACTGAAATTCAGCTCAGGGACTAAAAAAGAAAAAAAGCACCGTGACTTTCAAGCAGCACAAGTCTGGTGCATTCACAGTGATTAGAAATTCGGGCCAAACATTACCGTTACATCACAACAACTACACTGGGGCAAAATTTCTTCCCTCTAACTTCATTTCACAGTAATTTTGTAAAAAAAAAAAAAAAAAAAAATCCAATGCTAATCGCATTGCAGGGTGTTCCCAGTTTCATAACTGGTTTAAAAGTAAGTTTTGAAATACCAATAAAAAGGAGTCCTAGTTTGGGAACGGTATTGCAGCAAAGTTTGTCAAAACAGTAACAAATGTGTAGAAATCATCGTTTGGCCTAACTTTAGGCAGCCACTGCGTCTAATCTAAGGCGGCTAATCGTTCTCCCTCAACGGGTGGGTGTTCTTTGGGCCTTACTTTAGAACACCTTTGTTACGGAGTGCGATTAGCCGCCTTAGTTTGGGAGCGGTATTGCAGCAAAGTTTGTCAAAACGGTAACAAATGTGAAGAAATCGTGGTTTGGGCTGACTTTAGGCAGCCACTGCATCTAATCTAAGGCGGCTAATCGTTCTCTCTCAACGGGTGGGTGTTCTTTGGGCCTTCCTTTGAAACACCTTTGTTACGGAGTGCGATTAGCCGCCTTAGTTTGGGAGCGGTATTGCAGCAAAGTTTGTTGAAACGGTAACAAATGTGCAGAAATCGTGGTTTGAGCTGACTTTAGGCAGCCACTGCGTCTAATCTAAGGCGGCTAATCGTTCTCCCTCAACGGGTGGGTGTTCTTTGGGCCTTACTTTAGAACACCTTTGTTACGGAGTGCGATTAGCCGCCTTAGTTTGGGAGCGGTATTGCAGCAAAGTTTGTCAAAACGGTAACAAATGTGAAGAAATCGTGGTTTGGGCTGACTTTAGGCAGCCACTGCATCTAATCTAAGGCGGCTAATCGTTCTCTCTCAACGGGTGGGTGTTTTTTGGGCCTTCCTTTGAAACACCTTTGTTACGGAGTGCGATTAGCCGCCTTAGTTTGGGAGCGGTATTGCAGCAAAGTTTGTTGAAACGGTAACAAAAGTGCAGAAATCGTGGTTTGAGCTGACTTTAGGCACCCACTGCGACTAATCTAAAGCGGCTAATCGTTCTCCCTCAACGGGTGGGTACTCTTTGGGCCTTCCTTTAGAACACCTTTGTTACGGAGTGCGAGTGCGGTTTGTAAAACCAACCGTTTAGCTGGTCACAGAATTGAAGAAAACATGACAAGTCAACCGCAGCCTTTAGAAGCATGCCAAACAATCCAACCTCAGCAACAATGAAGGGGCAGTTTCAATGCGCGACTACTCTTTTTTTCAGTCTCGCGATTTTCGAAAGGACGCAGACACCGAGAAAATTGTTGCCAACCCACGAAAATTAATTAATTGCGTCTTTTCTGCTACGAACGTTTTACCAATGACGGATTTCAAAGATGTTCCAATGTCAGGACACAGTGCAATGCGCTAGCATTGGCATTTTCGAATTTCACGGCGTGTTGATTTCTTTTGATGGGTCACTTTAAATTTTGACAGTTGGCATGATGGTGTCGTGTCGTTGCCATGGCGATTTTTTTTTCATGTTTTAACCATTTTCTCAGAACACAGACAATTTCTTGTCACTTTGATGAGCCAGAAGGTTTAGTTTTGAGGAGTGGTACATTTTTTATTTGAACCATTTTTTCATATCATGAACGGTTCTGGTTTTCGATTGTTGCAAATTTATGTTTTTCGCGTTTACGGAAAATTTCCACGATAAATTTTCAAAAAAATTTGGAATTTTCGTTTTTTTTATAGTTGAAATAGTTTAGCGTTGTTTATTTGAAAATCGAAGAGGGGGGGGGGGAAGGAATCCACGGACCTCGGACAATAGGGGTTCTTGGGAACCCCTAAAAAAAAAAACTTTGGTGTACTGTGACCTTGGAATTCGGGCGGCGTGAAAGGAGACGGGCAGGGCGTTGGCCGTGACGTGCCCCGGCAGGTGAGACGACCGCCCCTCTCTCCCCCCCCCGCGGGGGTCGGCCCACAATAAAGAGGCGCCAGGGATTTATTGTGGGCCATCCCCCCCCCCCCGGCCCGCCCCTGATATAGATGTTTATGGGGTTGTCCTACCTGACCCCCAGCAGCCCGACCCCGGGCCGGGCATCCCTTCAGGGTGGCCGGCGAGAGTAAAAGTGCCATTACACATATCGTGTTGCTGTGTGTGTGTCTGCTTGCTGTCCCGGCACGGTGGGCCAGAAGGCCGGTGGAGGCGGTCAAAATCCCGGACGCGTTTTGAGCTCCAGAGTCGCTAAGTGGGGAACGTGTGACCCCACCAATGGATTGCTCTCCGAACGAGGAATCCATTGGTGGGGTCACACGTTCGGCTCGTCCCATTTAGCGACTCTGGATTTCCAAAACGGGTCTAACGGCCTCCACCGGCCTTCTGGCCCACTGTGTGGCCGGCTAGCCGTCGCGGCCTGCAGACCCAGTGCCGCCGGGGCGTCCGCGGGGGCGTTTCCAATAGGCCCCCGCCCCCGCAGGGGCCTCGGGCCTCTCGGACCGCCGCGCGTTGCGACTTGTAGTGTAGTGTATTTCCCCCTCCCCCCTCCACCACAACAACAACTATGCCGGCCTACTCCTGTCGGGTTGTCGGGTCGCGGGCAGCACTGCGCGAAGCACGGCCCAGGCACAATGCCACAACCTCTCTATTTAATGCAGTTGATTTGCTGCGCGGCCCGCCGGACGCAGGAAACACGGAGCGTTCGGGCAAATTATTTTTTCATCGTGCTTGTCCGGACCGCTATGCGTGCGAGATACGAACACACGCACGCACACACACACACACATGCACGTTCGGTGAATTGGAATCCTTGCTGCCCGTCCGTGTGTGCCGATCTCGATGCTGATGAGTGCGAGTGTGAGTGGAACCGAGCGGGAACGTTTATAAACCATGAACCGCCGGTTGAAAATTGACCGGTAACTGATAGAAGGTGGAAGTAGACTTCTTTTTTTTTTCAGTGAATGATTGACGCAAAAGGTGTTTTTCTTTTTCGCCGCCGCCGGCGTTTTTCGGCCGTACTTGCGGGCAGCATGTCGTTGTTATTTTTGGGCGCGACACTCAGCCGCTTGTTTATAAAAGTTGGCGGCCTGTTTGAAAGGCGGAGCACGGAAGCCTGCGCCCTGCGTTTGGCTCCGCGTTAGCGCGGCCTTGTCGCGGGGCGCGGCGCGGCAGTACTATGCAGGTACAACGCACCATTGTTTGACAAAGTTCTAGCGGCGCAAAATCACCCCGCATGCCTTCGCGCCCCCGCGGCCCCCGCGGCCCCCGCGGCCCCCGCACTGCCTGCCCTGGCCGCGACACCGACCCCGGGGACATGAGTTGGAGGGGCAAAAACAGAAGGGGGGTGGGGCTGTAGTGTCAGGGAACGGCTTTGGCGGCGGCGGCCCCGAGTTTAACCGCCGTAGGGGCACGGCGCCGCGCAAGGCGAGGCAAGGCGCCAAAGCGGCCTTGGCGCGACCTTCTCGGAGTCATTCGGGGGAAACTACCTGAAAAGTGCGTGTGGAATCCAGGTCGCCCCCGGCCGCCCCGGGCCCACACTGGCAGAGACGAACGCCGCGCCGGAGGCGCCAGAGGCCGCCGTTTTAAACTTTGTTTATTTTTTTTTCAGCCACTCATGCCGCCTACCGGCGGCGTCACACTGTAGGCGCCGAAAGCCACTGTGAGGATCGGCGCCTCCCGTGTCGGCCGTGTCGGTGTCCTTGGAGTCGCGCAGCGTCGCGCAGCCCCGACAGTCTCACCCCCTGGCCGCGCCGGCCTCCCCCCGCGTCCTCGCGTGGCAGCGTGCCAAATGCACAATGATGTTGGGACCGCCGAGTGTCGCCCCCACCCCTCTCCCCTCACACCGTAAACTTGGCCATCGCGCCACCATGCTCTCACAGCGTCACCCGGGGCCGTCGTCGCCGTCGCCGCGTGGACACAGATACCCGTCGGTGGAAAGCCGCAGCCGGAGACACGCGCACGGCCGACAGCTCGGAACCGTTATCTCTCACACACGCACACACACACAGACACACACACGGAAACTCACTCTCACGCACTAAAGCCAATCCAGTCAAACTTTAGCCGGCGGCGCGGCATCTGCTTGCCTCCAAACTGGGGCGCTGCAAACCGTAGCGAAGCAGAAGGGGGTTTCGATGGCGCGTAAGATATATGAGCAGTGCCGTTTGTTCCCCCGCTCCGCCCCGAACTAAACTCGCCGTGCACGCGCACGCACGCACGCGCCGCCGCGTCGTGTTACTTTCAAGTTTCCGTTCAAACTACACAGAACAAATGCCCCGCGGCCACACACATCATCAGTGCAGGCCGACCTGCCAGAGATATGCAGCCCGGCTCCCCTATCGCTTACTTCGGCCTCGCTCTCCTTCCCTACGCACTAGTCTCTTACAAAAGACAATCACGATCAAGCTTTCTAAAAAAATCTCATTGACGCCCAGTTTCCAACAGACGAGGTACTGCTGGGTCTCGTCTGGTGCCCACATCACACGGGCTGGCACGCGTGGGGTGGCCTGCGACACCGTGGGACGACCCCGGCTGCGTCCAGCTGACCAGAAGGACGGAGCAAAGCTTAAAAAGGGCTCCGGAAACTCCTCGCCGGAACGGAAATACACCCAAGTCGTGGTGTAACACCGCAAAAATTCGACCACTTCAAAATTTTATTTCATTTTAGCATGTTTCCGAGGGTCACTTGTCGTTTGCTTGAAACTATAGACGCGTTTTGACTTCAATTTTAGTCCTCAGTGACTCTTTTTCTCCTCAAAACTATTGAACCAAGACCCATTTTGGGAGCAGTACAATGTGGTTCGCACATCAAATTAAGTATGCTTCGGGCTCAATTTTGTCTGTATTTCTAATTTTCCGCGTTCGAAACTCATTTCGCGTTGCCACTTGATCCCCCATTGCCCGCAGCCGAGCCCGGCAATTTATTTTTCTCAAGGATCATCTCTCGGATCGCAATATGGCCTCGCTGTCATGTCCGTTTAGCCGCCATTACCATTGTGTTGTGCCCTTTTGTGCGTCTCGGCAGCACAGCAACGCTCCTTGGCTGCTTTTGTGCGCCTTGAGGCCCGCCAGAAGAACACCCCCCCCCTCCCCTCCCCCCTCCCCCTGGCCGCGCCGCCGTTCCGAGGAGCCTCTTCGTTTGTTTGTCCTTTAAAGTGAAAATAATGGAAAGAGGCGGGAGAATGTAAACCTGCTGGCACGGCGTCACGACAACCGTTGGCGCGAAGAATGAAATTGCACGCGAATATTCTGGTGGCGCTGCTCGAGACCACGAGGGGTGGGAAGGGGGCCGGCAGCCTTGCGGGAAAGTGTTGGGAAGCTGGAGCCAAAAAAAAAAAAAAAAAAAACACACCCCAAAAAACTACTATTTTTTTTCAAATTTAGGAGAATTTTTGAAAGCGAGTTTTGGTTTGGTTCTCGTGGCAGCGCTGCCACCACGCAGTGCTCTGCCACGCCCTGCCGGCCACTACTCGGGCAGGGCCACTCCGACGCCTGAATAATAAAGTAATGGTCGCTCAAGAGCGGATGTCTGCATGGGACAGTGTGGGCGTAGATGGGGCCTCAGCCGGCCACAGGGGCGCGGTGGTGGGGGGACATGGATTTTAAGCCTCGGCGTGCTACCAGCGGTGCTGCCACTCTCGAGCAAACAATGAACCCTTTGGTTTCGACAGACAGCGTCGATATTTGAAACCGCTGTTGGCGCTTTCTGCAGTTGAGTGCCTTGCAGTGTGGTGCCTCACAGTGTACGGGACGCCGAGGCGAGGGACGGAGTTGGGAAAGAAAGGCTGCGAAACGCTCAATTAGAGCGAGACTACGGAGCGCGCGGGGCGGCCCGGCCGGGGGTCCTAATCAGGTTATAAGGTCAGTTCGGTTCCAAAGCTTCACTTAGCGCGCGCCATCGGCCGCCGGGCCGCCAGCATGCACGGCTGACTCACTGGGATTCGCAGGGCGAGTCGGAAAATGATTGCAGAGAAGCTTCCCCCTCTCCTTCCTCCCCTCACTCGCACCCATACGGAAGGCCCCGCGAGTGCGAGAGAGACAGATGGACGAATCAGTCTGCCGCGCTCCATTCCTTTTGGCGCGATAACAAGGCGGCGTCACAGCCCGAGCTGTCAGCCATTTTAACGCGCTGGCCGGGCAGACCGAGCAAGCAGGCAGCCTTCGCATCGACAGCGCCAGGTTGGAATCAATTAAAAGCGTGAAAATGACAGTCAAAAAAAAAAACAAGAACAAAAAAGCGAGGCTGGAACAGGCGTCAGATCGAAAACACGAGAGCAACAGCAACAGGCACAGGCCAGTGCCGTTGTCTATGTTGATGCGAAAACAAAAAAGAATGACATCTTTCCGACATATTTTCCCGCCTTTGCGGTGCTCGCCTCTCCCTTGTCGCATCGAGGCCTCGCTAATGCAAACGTCGATTATATCGAATCGGCCTTCGAGCTCCGCGTGGCTCCGCGGGGCTTCGCGCTGCGGGGCGGCCTGAGTGACGTGACAGCAGCCATTCGGTTTGACACACTTCCAGACGCGCTCCCCGTGTGTCGGCGAGGGTGCGGACCTCAGCCAGAATGCTGTTCGGATCTAGCCGTCCCTCCACTGGAAAGCGAACACACTGCAAAGGGAGTAAGGCAATTTCGTGCGTAAATTTCGAGCACGGGACATTTTTCACACAAATATGTACAGCAAGATCGCATGACTTTGAACGAAATTTCGTCAAAATTAGTGCGTGTGTGTGTGTTAGAGAGAGAGAGAGAGAGAGAGAGAGAGAGAGAGAGAGAGAGAGAGAGAGAGAGAGAGAGAGAGAGAGAGAGACCGCGAAAGAGGGCGAAAAGGGTCGAGGGCGCGCAACGGAGCGGCCGGCCGGGCGAGAGGGCGAGATACACACGGGGAGATACAGAGAGCGAGAAATTAATGTGTTGGTGTGCGCGGGGATGCGAGCCGGTCCGGCCCTGTGTGCGTGTCGGTGTGTCGGAGGGTGCGCGCATTGTGCGTGTGTGTGTGTGTGTGTGCGCGCGCGTAATCAGTCTTCCGTGAGGTGCGTCGTGCTTGGCCCGCAACTCCAGCGGCGAGGCGTTTACAAAGCGGTTCGAGGGCGCTTTAAGCTAGCCGTGAGGGCAGGGCGGGGCGCACAGTGGGCCAGAAGACCGGTGGAGGCGGCCAAAATTCTAGACGCGTTTTGAGCTCCAGAGTCGCTTTACATGACTCGAGCCGAACGTGTGACTCCATCAATGGATTCCTCGTTCGGAGAGCTATCCATTGATGGGTCACACGTTCGATTCGAGGCCCATTTAGCGACTCTGGAGTTCAAAACGCGTCTAGAGTTTTGTCCGCCTCCGCCGGTCTTCTGGCCCACTGTGGGGCGGGGCCGGGCGGGGCGCTCTGAACTCACCCGTCAGCGCAGGCCACGCGGCACTGGCCGCTCTGCAGCTCCAGGCCCGGCGCGCAGGCCGTGCAGTTCTGTCGCGACACGCACGCCTTGCAGGTGTGGGGGCAGCGCGCGCACGTGTTGGCCTGCTGGTCCTGCTGCCGGTCCTGCAGGTAGGCGCCGTCCGGGCAGGCCGGGTAGCAGCGGCCCGCGTACAGCATGGGGCTGGCGGCGGGGCACGACAGGCACGCGTCCGCCCCCGGGCCGTGGCACGTCAGGCAGCCCGCGTCGCACGCCGAGCAGCGGCCCGACGCCTGGTTCAGGTGCTCGCCTGCAACACACGACACTGCTAGAGCACGACTGCCAAAACGAAAAGACACTAAACTGAGGGGGTTTTTACTCAGAGGCATTTTTGGAGAAAAGTGACGAATGCCTCATAAAGTCTGAACGGGTGCATGCTCAAAATACTTGGTAAAAATCATACAATTTTCTTTGACTGTCGCTGAAAAAAAATTAGTCATAATTTCAGAGTTTGGGTTGAGGAGGATGGAGAGTGGAAGGAGTGAACAGCTGATGAAGTGGATGGAAGACAGGGAGAGAGAGAGAGAGAGAGAGAGAGAGAGAGAGAGAGAGAGAGAGAGAGAGAGAGAGAGAGAGAGAGAGAGACGGAGAGCTGGGCGGAGTGAAAGGTTGATGGAGTGGAGGCGCCAGCAGCGAGTCCCGCAAAGGGTTGAAGGCAAGGGAGGCTCCAGGCTCATTCCCAGAAATAAGGCGCCTTCTTTGCTTCCCCTGGCTTTGCCTCGCCTCGCCATCTCAGTGCCTCGCCGCGCTCGGCTCCCTCCGCCCCGCGGCCCGCGGCCCGCGTCATCGCCCTACCTACTCATTAGCACCGTATTATCATCAAAAAGCCGAGTGGGTCCGGTGGGAGCAGCCGGGGTGGGCAGGGCGGGGTGGGCAGGGCGGGGTGGGCAGGGCGGTTCGGGCAGGCCCGCCAAAACTTGGAAAGCCGCGTGCTGGCTGCTCGCAGGCCTGCGCAGGCCTCCACGGATGGCTGGTCAGCCGCTGAACCGCGGCGCCGGGAATCGGCGGCCCGTTCCAAAGAGTGTCCCTCCGTCTCTCTCGCACCCCTACGGTGCGCGCCGCGAGTGCGAGAGAGACGAGACGATTTGCTTCGGAATCGCTCGGCTCGGCGGGGAGAAGTCGAGGAAAGAAGCAATGGAGGGGGAGGGAGTGACTCCCAGCGGCATTTTCGATCCGCCACACCTTGCCATCACACTAATGCCCGCTCCGGATTCATCAACACGTCGTAGCGTGCGGCCCCGGCACGCCATCGACACCACACTGCCCGCCCCTTCCCTCTCCGAGAACGCCGTCCCCGGAGGCCAGCGACACTAGGGCACTCGTCGCACAGTGGGCCAGAAGACCCGTGGAGGCGGACAAAACTCTGGACGCGTTTTGAGCTCCAGAGTCGCTAAATGGGACTCGAACCGAACGTGTGACCCCAAGAAAGGTTTGCTCTCCGAACGAGGAATCCATTGGTGGGGTCACACGTTCGGTTCGAGTCCTGCTTAGCGACTCTGGAGCTCAAAACGCGTCTCGCGTTTTGGCCGCCTCCACCGGTCTTCTGGCCCACTGTGCGTCAGGGAGCCGCGCGCAATCAAAACGCACAATCAGAACAAGAAGGCCGTCTTTTTCGTCGCCGTGGAAACGACGTCATCAAAACACGGACCCGAAGTACCGACCGGGGCCCCGAAACACCTTCGGACTCACTTTCCTCGTTTTTTCGTGTCGTTTTCTCATGTTTTTTTTCGTGTTTTTCCCCTTTTGCCGCGAGTATTTCGAGGGTGTCGCATCAGGCGGGGTCACGCCCGCTAATGCGATGCCGCCGATGCCGGGCCGGGGGACTCGCAGGGACGCCTCGGGGAGCCGCTTGACACGGTACGGCTGAATGATGAGGATTTAACGTCCATTTAATAGTGCAGTGAACACCTCCGGGGGCCGCCCTGCCCGGCCCGGCCCGCCTATCGCGCACCGTCGTCGGGGGAAGGGGCCGAGCGAGAGTGCGGCGGATTATACCGAGCTACTAATGGGCACAGAAAGGATCTAGATGTATATGGTGGGTGCCGACACCGCCACCATCTTCACACACACACACACACACACACACACACACACAGAGTAACGCGCGCGGGTATAATTACCATAATGGGATCGCGCGTCAAACCTTTTAGGCAGCAACCGTGTGTTTCATTCGGTGCCGCAGCGCACGCACACACTCGCTCTCTCTCTCTCTCGCCCAGGCCCAAACTCTCTCTCTAGCTATCTCCCACAGAAACTCACCCCCTTTCTCTCTCCCACACACAGGCCGTTATCACGCGCCAAACATATCCGCGCTTGTTGGTGTTAGTGCGGCGCGGCGGGGCCTGGCGGGGCCTGGCGGTCCGTGAGGCGTTGGGGCGTACGCCGCGAAGGGACAGGCTGGTTCGGCAGGGCTGGCGCCGGGGCTGGCACTGCTGAGCTGCCTGTGCCGGGCCGGCCGGGGCTGCCGCGTCGTCTCCAGAGAGCTCAGCCCGGCTTGCTCGACTAACTCCTATTTCCCCAACACTTCCCCACGCGGCGTGGAGTCGAGGTGCGGACGGGCCGTGCCGGGCTGCCGGCATGCGAAACCAACCCAATCGGCCCGCTCACTCATTTACCGTTTATTTGTTTACTGAGAGAAGGAACAGGTCGTCGTGCCTCGCTCGGACGCGGCTTATGAGTCGTTTGCATTTGGCCGGATTATGTGTGGACGCTGCCACACTTGTGCAGCCTCAAAGCTCAATTCCGGGCCCGGGACTCCCGCAGGGACGCCCGCAGGGACGCCGAACCAAACCCAGAATAATTTCCACCGCCACCCTGCTCTCGGGGACTCGGCGGGCCACATCACAAGGCGTCAAGCGAGGCCCGAAGCCGCCCGAAGCCGCCCGAAGCCACCCGAAGCCGCCCGAAGCCGCCCGAAGCCACCCGATGGCGCCCGAAGCGGGATCTCGAAGCCACCCGAGTGCAAGATGAACACACAGCAGGAAGCCAGCAGGTACTTCCAGTCGTTGTCGGCGGTCAGCCTCGACTGGATACAGCCCCACCAGCCGAGGCACAGCCGAGGCACGGCCGAGGGCACGAACTGCAATCTGCGTCCGAATCTCGAACCGCAATGAGTGCAAGCGAGCTTGTGGGGCAGCGCGCTTTCCTCGGAAGCGGTCGCCAGCCTCGAGCAGAGAGTCGGTAAATCACTTTGGCGAGTCCAGCGGCCTGGCCGTGCCGTGCCGTGCCGTGCCGTGCCGTGCCGTGTCGTGCCGAGCCCAGCCCAGCGCTGCGCTACCCGGCGGAACGCTAATGGCTGGCTGCGTGCGAGGCAGCAAGACCGTCGCCGTTTCGGACGCAGCCCTTCTGGTGTGGCGACGCCCGAGGTACCCGAGAGTACCGAGCCGCGGCAACCCAAATGCGCCAAACCAACGCGAAGCGTGCAATCACAACCACGAAAGCCGCCGGAAAAAAAACGCCGCTGAAAGGTATCGAACCCGTGACCTGCGGCACGGAAGTCAGCCGCGTTGTCCGCTCGGCTAGCGGCGCAATCCGCAGAGCCCAGCATTGTCACTGCTTGGCATGTCAGCGCGGGGGCTTAGCGGAGGGTGGCCGGGGAATAGATTACCCGGCATTTCGGGCGGGGCGGGAGGAGTCAGGCGGGACAAAGGCTGGACGGAGAATTCAGCGACTCTGATTCGGATAAGCGGAGCGCTAAAACAAATCTGGCAGACTGGAGGCGGAAGGGAAGGAGGAGGGAGCGTCACGGAGGAGAGCACCGCAGCCAAGCGGCGTTTCGGCGACCGCGGGCTGTGACGGAGTGACTCGAATATTGTTCCCAGTGTCTCGCAACGCCAACTCTCAGCCAATGGAAATGACTCCCCGACTTGGGGGAACGCCGATGAAGGGCCCGACCCGTATAAAGCACAACCTCGAGGTCATGGTCATCAACTGACACCCAGGACGGCGACTTATTTTTGTTTCCACGCCACTGTACTCGAAAAACCCAAACCCAAACAAATCCAGCGGCCTAGATACGAGAACGACCTCCCTGCCGTGTTGTCTGGATACCGACAACTGGGCCGCTGGTCGGGCAGAGCGGGCAGAGCGGGCAGAGCCAGGAGACATTGTGGGGCATGGCTTTCACAAAGCCTGCCGCCGTGCCGGGGCGGTGGGGCCCGCGGTGGGGCCCGCGGTGGGGCGGCGGCGGCGGGGCCCCGGGTGGGGCGCGGCAGGACGCTGCGTTTAAATCCACTCCGGTCGCAAACAGGGGTCTGGTCTCAATCAGCAGTCGCCTTGTGACGTAGGACGGGCAGGCCGCGGATCAAACTGCCACCAAACTGGCGCGCCCCGCCTGGCCCCGCCCGGCCCCGCCCCCACGTCCGACAAGACGGTGCCGTTGTTGCCACGCCCTCGACGGCAAGCCAGGCAAGCCAGGCAAGCCAGGCCAGGGCCACGGAATCCGGAGACAAGTCTGGCCGGCGACTGCTCTGCGCTAATCCACCTAGGAGGGATGTGGCGTCTGCTCTGCGAGCCGTCGCTCTGTCTCTCTCGCACCTGCAGGGGACGCCCCATGAGCGCGACGGAGACAGATCGCCGAAGACAACTCCCGGAATCAGTCTCGCTCGGCTTTGTGCAAGTCAGCGCGCCTGCCATTTACTAGGGGTACGCGCCGTTTACTGTGGGCGCGTAGTGTGGCTGAGCGATGCGAATTAGTTTCTGCACTTCGGACTTTGCTTAACTGGACGAAATGAGCAACTTATGGGCTCTGAGTGAAATGTAGGTCTCGGGTATAAATGGAAGTGATTTTCGTTTTCAGCACGCAAAAAGCTGTTAGGATCAACGTCAAACTCGATTCAAAAATTTTGGTCCAAATTTGGTCAAAATTAGGTAAAGCGTGAGTCTGGGAAAAATTTGGAAGTCATTTTTGAGTTCAGCACACCAGAAACTGCAGGAAACAATATAAAACTCGACTTGAAAATTTTGGTCCAAAATGACCTAATTTGGGATGAAAATATAAGTCTGGAGTCGAAATGGAAGTGATTTTCGTTATCAGGACACAAAAAACTACTGAGATCAACATCAAACTCAACTCAAAAATTTTGGTCAAAATTTTGTCAAAATTAGGTAAAGTGTGAATCTGGGAAAAATTTGGAAGTCATTTTTGAGTTCAGCACACCCAAGACTGCAGGAAACAATATAAAACTCGACCTGAAAAGTTTGGTCAAAAATGAGCTAATTTGAGATGAAACTATAAGTCTGGAGTAGAAATGAAAGTGATTTTCATGATTGGCACTCCAAAAACTGCAAGAATTAATGTGAGATTCAATTGAAAAATATTGATATTGAATTGATTAATAACGGATAGAGTATGGGTCTGGGTTCATGGATCACCCCATGTCGTCACCCTAATGCGAAACCAATGCGATTCCTCAGTCGAGT